GGAGTGAAGGTTATTCCTTATGCAAAAATGACCTCCAACGATAAAGTGGGTCAAAAGGAAGATTGTATTGTTCCAATAATCTTCTCCTTGCAGACTCCCTGCCAACGCCCGTTGAAAAGGAATCACTGATATATAGGAACAGCTTAACACTAAACTCCAAAAGCAATCCGCAGAAAAGACTTGTTCAAAGGTGATGATCTGATTTCATAAGCCTTACGGTCTTGCTTCCTCCTTGCACTCAGATGATAGCTTTGATGCTTCTACCAGGGATTAATGCAAAAAAAAAGAAAAAAAACGGGGGATGGGGACGACACTTACTGTCTGTACTGAAAGATCTGGATTTTTCACATTTGTTTATCAAGCACAATTTAAGAAGTTGCTTCAGTATTAACCTTCCAAGCGGTAAATAGCTCAAGGCCAATCTCTCCCACTGTGAACTTAGCCATCAGCTTAGCTCTTCAAGAGAGGTCTTTCTGAAGATGCACCTCTTCTGAGAGACCTGGTAGACAGCAGAGGCTGTGTAGTACTTCTCTTGTAGAGCTTTTGTGGGAATTGTGTCTGGCCCTCACTCTCTTGGTGTTCAGAAAAAAAAAAAGTTTCTAAAGATGCGTCTCTTTTTCCATATTAAAACATCAAATCGATACCACTTCAATATAAAGTGAATTATATTTAATATTTTAAGCCTTTAACATTTTATATTTTAATTTTGTTAGCCGCTTTGAGAATTCACTAGAATGGACAAGAAACAGAAGAAATACATTCTCAAAAATAACTGAATTAGTAACTGTGGTTTCATCCAATTTCCTAATCAGGATCTGATACTAATCGTTTATTTCTGTTGTGATCCATCAAGTCAAACTCTGATTCCTGATGACAAGCCCCTGCACTTTTCTTGACAGCATGTTCAGAAGTGGCTTGCTAGTACTTTCTTCTAGGATTGAGAGGCACCAGGCTGTGCCTAAGGCAGAATCAGAACGCAGCCTTATGGCTTCTAATCCAGCACTTTATCTACCAGATGAAATTGGCTCTGTCTCAATATATAACAGAAAAAGAAAGGCACTTGTCACTGGTTCTGCAAACTGAGAAAGAACAGCAGCTATTGCTAAAAGAAACACTGCCCTTACAGCAGAAAAAGATCTGCAAATTACACACACACACAGAATGAGTGGAACTTGGTTAAAAAGCTACCATCTATTCCAAGTTTAGTTACTACTAAAATCCCTAAATCATCTTGTATGGATCAAGACCACATCCAGCCTATGACTTTTTCCTTGCTACTTTCTAAGAATGTCAGTGTACTTATTAGCATTGCAGTCTAGACCCCAGGCTTTGATTAAAATAGAATTGAATAAAAAACAGAATTGAGTAGAAGACATGACCCTCTAAGTGGAGTAATATAGTTGTGGGGAAAGATAACTGGATGACCGGAAGATAAGCTGAATACAGAGAGTGGTTCTACTCATAGCAGGCTCTGTCTATCTGGATTTTGCCCACACAAATTCAAATTGGGCTGCTTCGTGGCCTACAATATTCTTATTACTGTAATCAGTGCTGGACTGATTTTATAATCTTAAAGCTTTAAAGTAGTAGTTGTATAAATATTTTTGGAGAAAGCAATCACATCATCTCCTCTTCTTAGCAAAATAGGCAATGTTAAAATAAAGTTCATAGTGATGGTTTTCTAACTGCAGTCTTATACTTGTTCCTTGGAGATAGCATTCCTGAGGAAAAAACATTCAATGACCTAGTCTGGCAATTATCTGATCTCAAGTGTAAATTAGATTTAGGGATAGATTCATAGGTATGGTATCAAAATACTAAGGACAATTTTGAGATATTTATATAAATAAGGTGGCCATGCATAAGAGACATTCTTGTAATAATGACGAATTCCTTCACACAGACTGGCTATGTTTTCAAGTCATGATTTTTATATATCCTAAATAATTCTGTCTTAGAATAAATTACCTCAGAGCTGACCAAGGAGAAGCAACCCTAGGTCTTAATCCTAAGTAGTGACCACGATCTGCACGATATCATTGACACATGCGAGGATTGGCTTCTGAATGTTATTTCCAATTTCTTCACCAGCAGTGGCCATAGGAAATGTCTATAACTTATCCCATGTCACAAGATGCCGTGTGTGTGTGTGTGTGTGTGTGTGTGTGTGTGTGTGTGTGTGTGTGTTTCTGCTGTCTCTTAGATCACCACACTGCATGTTTCTATATATGTTTGCTTTGGGATGGACTATAGAATTTCAGATCTGGATTACATAACCAAGAGGAAGCAGTTATCCAACTCCCAAGTAGGATATTTTGGAGGAGAATTTCTCCACATCTCTAGCTGGATCCAGGTCATCTTGAAGTGAATTTCTTTTTCTGCTATATATTTTTTTCACCATAGCACATTTTAACCCATTCTGTTCATCTTCTGGAAAATTATTAGCTGTGGACAGGTGGATGGGAAGACAAGTTGGAGAAATCATCTAATACATTCTATTGACTTGGAGCAGATATTCTGGCAGAAAATGTGCAACGTGCTAAGGAGAAAGAAGAGGAAGCATTTGAAAGATATATGACAAAAAAGGGAAGGGGGGAATAAGATGATCTTTAGAAATATTTGAAGCAAAAAAAAAAAAAAACAGGAAGGCAGTCAGATATTAAATGATAAAGGAAGGAAATGTATCCTCAGAGAAGAGACAGTAATTACCAAGAAGCTAAATGAATTCTTTGTCTCTGTATTTACGGAAGCATGTACAGAAGCGGCTAATTTTGAATTTTAAAAAAGCACAGAAGAAACTAGCAAATTCAATGACCTGCACATTCTACAAGAGTGGACAAATCTAATAAAAAATAAGCAAGCACAGAGGTAAAAAGGCAGATAGATATCTGAATGCAGACTGACTTTTTTCAAGAAGAAAACAACCTAATATCTGAACTGCAGTAACAAGAGAAAATATTATAGGACAGTTTGAGAGACTACGTTGCATAACAATGTGAGCTAGTTTAAAACTCAAATGTAAAATTTGAGCAATTATATGTAACAGGACAGTAACAGGACAGAGGACATCCTGCAGATTATAGGCCAATTAGTTTAACATCTATTTTATGCTAATGGGTACAATTTTTAAAAAGACGAACAACCTATGAATATGGAAGAACAAGCCTTGTTAAAGAATTGGCAAGGATAAATCCTGCTTCATCAACCTATTAAAGAGCTTTCAACAGGATCGACACTATACTTGTATTTTCAAAAGGCTTTTTACAAAATTCCTTGTCAATAGTTTTTTTAAAAACTGACTTTAGAAGAGCAAAACAATACAATAAAATGGACATATTTCTAAATAGGGGATAATAAGTTAAGTCTCCAAGATTTTTAACTTATTCATAACAGTTTTTGATTTAGAGTGAACCGTCTAAATTTGTAGGTGACACTAAACCATTCAGAGTGGTAAAAAGCAAGAGTGTCTGTAAAAAGAGTTTCAGAAATGTTTTGTTAAACTGGGGAAATGGTTAGCTAAATGGCCTATCACTTTAATTTACATAATTCTAAAATGAAGCCTACTGGGGCAAATTCAGCTGTCCATGGATGGAATTTGAGCTTTATACATTTCACAAGAAAAACATCCCCTGCATGTCTGGGTACAGCTCTATCGTCACAATGAAAACAATAATATAATGAAGCTGGAAAGTGTGAAAAGGAATATTATCAAAATGATTAGGGGACTCTTAACAACTTTCTTCAGTACAAGGGTAGAATGTTAGCCTTCAATTTGGAAAAAGGTGATCAATGAGGGATGTATTTGAGTTTTACAGTCATGCAGAGTGTGGGAAAAATGGACAGGGAGAAATTTTCTTCTTCTCTTAAAAACACCAGTACTGCGACCCAAAAAGTTAATTGGAAGATTTAAAACAGATGAACGGAGACACTTTACACACCACACAGTTAATTCTGGGGAATGCAGGCCCACAAGATGTAGGAAGAACCATTAATTTGGATGACTTTAAAAGGAGATAAAGCAGGGGTGTCCAACCTTGACAACTTTAAGACTTGTGGACTTCAACTCCCAGAATTCCCCAGCCAAAATTTGATACTCCTGGGGTAGAGGAATTCTTGAAAGAAAGGTCCTTCAAGGGCTGGTGATCTTGAAATCTCCATGTTGCCCCCACAGGAGGAACAGCATGCCTCCAGATTGCAAAAGAGCAATGATGGGAGAGGGATATCTTTCTGGCTCCCTTCAGAGGCATTTGGTTGGCAGGATGAGAACCAAAAAATGAGGCTAAAATGAGCTTTGCCAGATCTTAGCTATTGCAGCTATTCTTCTGTTGTTATATTCTAGGAAAAATGTGTTTACCAGCGCCAACAATCTCTACAATATACAACCTAAAGAATGTATTATAAGACATCCACTTAATTCAAGAACTGGGCCAAAGTATCTGGCTATCATCATTATTCATATCTGTTTGAAGAGCAGTACAAAGATTTTGGGGATAATTATTTGAGGGTGCAAATTTGCCCATTTTCCAGTAAATGCAGAATTCTGCTAGGTTGCTAGATGCAGTCTGTTTATATGACAGCAAGATTTTGATTTAGTAAATAAAGGAGCACATTTTTATAGTCTTATGTTATAATGAGAACCTCATTGTCACTAAATGATTTAATAGAATTCAGTTATACACACTCCCCCACAAACTCCACTGTTGATGTCCCCGAGATTCCTGGATTATCTGGCTCCACCACTATTCAATTTTTACAAAGTTATAAGGACATCACAGTGTTCTGCAATATGCCAAGTTTCAATGTCACGTGCTTAAAAGGTTTTTCAGATACCAAATTAGTGTGGAGAAATATCCTCTCTAAGGGAAAAAAAAATAGAAAAAAATCATTTTATAATACTGCTTAAAGTTACATTACTGAAGAGCTACTTATACAGATCTTCCAATGAGAGAAAAAAAATGTTCCCAGAACTGCCAATTGTTATGTGCTTTTCACTGACTTACTATGACATCTTCAGCAGTTCATTAGTTTCAGGCTTCCATATACCTCTCACCAACTGTTCAAAGTTGGATATTAGACCGCCACCAGCTCCTGTAATTCAATACAAATTATTACATGCTTAAATTGGTTCAAAAGATCTTACACACTCAATCCCACTTCCAGTTAGGACAACTACAAATCCATCACATTACTTTCAGAAGCACAAGATAGGGCCCTCTAAGTTATAGGAAGAAATGAAATGACCTATTTTACAGTTATTGAAATTGGATCCTCAAATTGAGACTCTTTAGAAAATATCCTATTCTGAGATGGAAAGGTTTAATCTTTATTAGAAAAAAAAAGGAAGCAGCAGCTTCACTCTGAAGTCTAGAATCTGTAATGGCCTTATACTTACTGTAAGAAATCAGTAAGCTTTAAAAGAAGACAGGGCTATAACTTGCTTGGTGCAAATAAGGAGAACTAATTGCTTATAACATGAGACCAATGCGCACAAATTAAGAACTTGAAAGGAGGCCACAGAAGGACTGAACTTTTCTCAACCCTGTTATAATCCAATAGGCAAGACAGGTCAACAGGCTATTTTATGTCACAGAGCCCATTCCCAATGGACACCATTATGAACCCTTTCTTTTCCAGCTTTCATTTTCAATGAAAAAAAAAGTGACTTCAGAGTATAAAAATAATCCACCCAGCCCAATTTTGCACCCAATAAAGGATAAAATCCTCCCTGTGATCAGCTTATCAAATGCAACTACCCAGGCTGGCCTGTATCCTAATCCTATATGGCCCCTTTTGGTTAGAGAATTCAATAATGAATAGAAATTGCTTCAGACAGGAAGCTGTAGCAGATATTTGGAGAGCTTTCCTCAGTTCCTCTCAGTACGTCAGAAATGACTAGATATAAAATGAAGAACTTTGAATCTAGTGTGGCTAGATTGTGTAAACACACACACAATATTATATATTATTTTAATTATAACTTCATTTATATGTTATGCTCACTTTTCTGTTGCTTGTTTTAAAATAATAAAAAAAATACTTTAAAAGAATAGCTTAACCCAGGTAGTATGCCCACATACCAGTTAATTTTACACACATTTACTAGGCAGAACTTTCTGCTGAACATTCAGTTTAAATGCAAAGGCATAACACCAGATATGTGAAAAGGTTCTCGGCTTTAAGTTCTTCAACTTATTTATATTGAGATATAAATGTGAAGTAAAATGTATATGAAAAAGAGAAAATTAAGAAAAAGGATTTAATCATATTAAAAGAAACTTTCAACATAACTGAAAGGAAAATAAGACGGGGGGGGGGGGAGCAAACTGTAACCCTGGATTTGAGATACAGAAAACTTGTTTCTACAGGTCAGCAATGTTAACCATTGCAGCAGATTTTATCAAAAGGCTATGAAATAGCACCATAAAACTAACACTGCTTCTCTGGACATGTTGATGCTTCCTATAAAAGGAATTTATTTCTAATTAGCGATTTTCAGAGGGCTGAGAAGCCAAAAATAAATAACCCTGAACAGTTTTGTATGAAGTCAGCCTTTCTTCTCCAAATGGTCCCAGACACCCTCCATAAAAGCAAGTAAAGAACAGATCAAAAATTAGTTTCAGAACAGAGAAGTTTCATGTATTACCTCTGGCCCAACCGACTCCTATCATGATTAGCCAGGCATCTGCAAAGCGTTTATGTGCGTGAACAATTCCACCTGTTATCTTCCATGTTCTTGTCACTTCCTTCATTCCTGCAATCATCAGTCGTATAGGTGTAAAACATAAACTGCGGTAGAGTAGATCATGCGGGCAATAAAATATAAGATACCTAAACAATCAGGAGGAAAAGGTTCAGTCTCCCAAAGATGCTTAGAGCAAAAGCATGCCAACTATGCAAGCATGAAACAAATTCCCAAATTAAAAAACTTGTTAAACATAAATGATAAGAAATAATAGTATGAGGCTACAGGCTGCTTAAATATGTATAGTCACACTTTCAATAAATTAAGTTTCAATATCTGTTATCTTAGGATACCGGGCAACTTAAACATTCATTTAACTATTACTGCTCCTTATAGGCTTTTTTAAAATGTTAGCTTTATCTCTTGCTACATACTTTCCAAATTTTATGTCTGGGGAACTTATATAGTGGATACCTAGCCTTCATACATATATGTGTGTATATAATATAGTATGTATATAGTAATATGTATATGAAAACTAATATGTATATGATATAGATAGATCTCCAAGTCATATGTGGAATTTGGGACACAAAATTCAAGTACAAATAAGAAATGGGAAAAGGACATACAGATGCATAAAAACAATTCAGCGGGGAGGGAAAGGAACAGCAATAGGAATCCAATATAGAAAACAAAATACAGTTCTGCTTCCATTTTTCAAGTGCTGCCCTTCACAAAATTCCTCTTATTCCTTACTGGAAAAGGAATGGAACTATTTTGTACTATACTGTAAAACAGTTTACCAAATAAAACAAAATTAGGTAAGTCTGATAAGTCTACTTGAGGGAAAAGCATATTAGTTTTAAGGAAAAATTCACGGTTGGGAGAAGAGACATCATAAATGCTCCAGCTTTTCCCTCAGTGCAGAAAGGTTCAGTACATTCAAAATTATAGCCAAATGTCACAATATCAACTGCTGCCTTTCTGAAATTGAGCTCTACTATCTTTCTTTTAGACGACTTCATGCCATTTCCCCCGTTTTCTGCCATCTTCTCCACTAATATTTGTAATCAATAAACTCACTCAGTTCTTCTCTGCCTCCACCATACTGGTCTCCGCAAATTCTACACCTTTTTGTTTTGCCCCATTTTGGAATCCATTCCCCTGTAAGTTTGAACTTCCAAACGATCCTGGTATTTGGGCCAGCTAATAATTCCCTTTTACCCAGGAATAGCATCATCTAATTAAATAAGCTTTAGATTTTTATTTTTTATTTAAAGCAGGGGTGGGGAACTATGGCCCTTTTATGACCTGTGGACTTCAACTTCCAGAATTCCTGAGCTGGTTCAGGAATTCTGGGAGTTGAAGTCCACAAGTCCTAAAGGGCCCATAGTTCCCCACCTCTAATTTAAAGCATTAATTGTAAAGATACGATTGTGGCAAGATGCATAAACGAAAAGAAGTAGGTAAGAAAGAAAGAGAAGAAAGATGATATCACTTGAGTAACAAAAAACTACCCAACAAGTTACTGACTTTTGGCTCCTTTTTTTCCAACTATTATACATTATGGCCAGGAGTTATTTTTTCCTCTCTATTCCCAATTCCTTTTTCTTTTTTCTTGTGATTTTTAGATTCTAACTTTGAAGGCAGGGCTGCTTTGTAACTATCTTTATAAGCTGTTGAAAAAACCTTACAAATAATGTATTTCAAATGTCTACCGATCAAATCTTTTTCAGTGCTATTGTAACTTTTCAACAGTCACGAAATGAAATTGAGCTGGTTTAAGTGATCATTTTCCATATTCAGCTTGAAATTCTTGCAATAAAATACTCTTCTAAAAAGTGGCCCATGCACTTAATTGGGGCTCAGGCCCAGCTTGGGGGCTAAATGCAATACCAAATTTGCAAGCTCTCTCCTCTACAGTAACTGTCGAGATAGAAGCAGCTGCAAGAGGAAGAAGAGGAAGAGAAGAAGGAGCAGCAGCAGCAGCAAGAGGCGGAGGCGGAGGCAGTGCATTTCAGGAGAAATAAGCCTTTGCATTGACAAAAGGATCTGCCCATTGAACAATACAATGCACCACACAATAAAACCTCGCTTAAAACCCTGGCTTCCCCATTAATTCACAAACGGTAGTTGTGTTACCCTAAAGATGGACATGCCCAGTGGTGGTATTCTACTGGTTCGGCCCAGTTCCAGCGTACTGGTAGCGCCGAAGATCAGCTGGCAGAGAACTGGTTCACTCTGAGTCTCTCCGATGTTCTGCAGTTGGGCCCACCCGCCCACCCGTTCTTTTTAACCTCTCAGCTGGTTGGCGTGGCAGAGCGGATTGCTGTGCTAAACAGCTGAGAGGCACAGTAGCTTAGTTTTTACTGTTTTAACGCATGCACAAAGCGTGCATTTGGTGTGCGTGCGTGCACGCAAGTCGCACGACCCTTCTCCTGCAGCCACACCCACCAAGCCATATCCACAGAACCGGTGGCGGGAACTTTTGAATCCCCACACTGGACATGCCCCTTTTGAAAAGCCCATTAGCTTAAACTACCTGCCAGTCAATACAGTATGGTGCTATATTAGCTTATGAATTCATGCCACCTCCCACCGTCCCCTCAGGTCCAATAGATTCATTGGCTAATCTGGACTTGAGCTATCCTGTGGTTGGACCTACCTGCCTGAAAACCCCAGTGCTGAAGCCAAACACCAACTGTTCTCTCAAAAGCAACACCACAGAAGCAAGTAGTTATAACTTTTTTGCTTTTACACCATTCACATTACTCTCAGACAGCCAACCTCTGGCTGTGGCTACTCTGTTTAGGAGTACACTCTTTTCTGAGCCCAATACAGCTGTATATATTGAAAACCCCTCTCACTTAAACCAGCTCTGTTCAAGATCTATTAGGGAGCATCCAGTTCCATTTTCACCTGCTTATCACAGTGACTTTTAAAAATCAATGTTAATGTAGAGTTGCAATCTATACTCATGTTATAGTTTCTTTTATTGGAAACTAGCTTTACAGGTGACCTGGCATATTCAGTTTTATACTGTGGTCTTAAAAAATTAATATACAAGAAACTGTAGATAAAAAAAACTACTCATTTGCTGATTGTGAGATGATAGTTCTAAGAATTTACCATTGGATGTCACTAGTTACAAAGTCACTTATGAGTCACGTCATTGAAGAAGCTTCAAATGTGGAGACTTAGGATGGAATTAATATTTTCCACTTGTGCACTTTTAGTGTTCTTTCTCTTGTTTAAAACAGTTTTGGGGAATGATGGCCCTTTTAATGATTTGTATACTTCAACTCCCAGAATTCCCGAGCCAGCCATGCTGGCTCGGGAATTCTGGGAGTTGAAGTCAACAAGTCATAAAGGGGACATCGTTCCCCACCTCTACTTTAAAGGATGTGCTATATGCATGCAGAGAGAACTTGGGGGAAGCTTTTGAAACAGCTGCACCAGCCTAGAAAATCACACGGTTGCTTTAACAATGCAAAAGCTGCTCCTCATAAAGTCCTAAAGCTTTGTGCAGCTCTGTCTTCTCAAGATAATTAACTATATGAAGGGAACAGGGACTTTCAACACAACAATACAGAGAAATTAATATTTCAAATATTTAGGAAAATCTCTATGTACTTTCTTCTTCCTTCTCCTCATGTTCACGTGATTTAGTCCCTTGATGGAATAAGACAAGCTAACCTTAAGTCATTTGGCTTGTATACACAATGGCACATGTTAAAAGTAATTAAAATGCATCAATTGGCATCAACAATATCTATGGAAACTGAATTGGATTGATTTCTCAATTCACACAAAATCGTTCCAAACCAAAAGTTGCTTCACAGGCCATTTTCTAGAGATTAACTATGTCAAGGATCAGCAACATATTGAGATGAAGGGATTTTTTTTTAATTTTCATTGATGTTAGAGATACCAAAAAGAATTCTACAATTCATTTTTTAAAATAGACCAGAGTTTATGAAACCTAATTAACTAACAGTGAGATTTTGTAATATTTGTACAACTCATGGAATCTGGACCAATATTTAATACAAAAACTAGAAATTTGGAGATTCTTGAATGCCATCTAGTGGTGCTAGTATATCGTGTAGCAAAGACTACACTGATAATCCTCAATGTATGTAAAAGAAAACACACTTCATTATTTTCCTTGGCAGCAGGTTAAATCCCATATAAACGAATCAGGCAACCAAAATATGTGTAAATTGCTAACATTCAAGCCAAAGAACATTAATGCATATGAATTTAGAAAAACTGCTTTGTATGAAACCATACTCAACATGAATATTTTTCCCTTGATAATGATTTGCCTGAATAATGACATTATTTACAATGAATGCTTGTAACAACATACCATCATTTATTCCCTTGTTCATTATATATTTATCCAATTTTTAGACAATCACTGTTTCTAAACTTGATCACATGGATGAAAGAAAAAGACCCTGACATCAGAGATAAAAATTAGGAAATGAGTTTTTCCAAGATAGAATAAAGGGACAAGTCATAAGCCAGTTATCTATAGTTGTTTCAACCCACATAATCTTCACTTATTCTGTTGTGAACATTATGATGCTCCCCTTGTAGAGGGATGTGAACATATGAATTTCGGAGAGGCAGGGATTGAAGATGTCCACTGACCTTGGTCTCTAATTGCTAAAGTTAGAACATTGTGAATCATAATTATTTAAGTCTCCAATCAGCAGCCTTTTATACACAAAGACTATTCTAAGCGTATCTCGCTGTATCTACATTCCGGCTTCAGCAGCTTGGGATAAATCTAAGCTTGTCAATTATTTGTGACAAAACTAGCAACCCATAGATTCAGATTCCAAGTTGTTCTTCTGTTTATGAAAATGGGAAGGAGGCAAATCTGGCAATTTCCTCTTTATCTCATTCCTACCATGATCACCACCACCCACAGACATCCCCCAGCATCTCTAGGCAGCCCACAAGAACATACTGAATGTGTGTATATATAGATAGCTAAAGAAGAACATAATTTGAAAACCCCATGGTATTAAAAGAAACTGTTCACAGAAGGAAACTTCAAAGTCAAGATACATGTTTCCCAGAAGAACCTTTGTCTGTCAGGGCACAAACCAAACTGCTTAAGACAAAGCATATTCTCTCCCTGCCATTAAGTACTAGTCCATATTATTAGTTCTTGAGCGGAGTAGCTTCTGGGGTGAAAGCAAACCGCACTAAACAAAATGTACTCAGCAAAACGAGGGCAGCAAGAAGTTAATTCAGCAGTTTTATGTTGCAACAACTGCAAAAGGCTGAGATTCAAGCATCCCAACACCATTCAATGCTGCTAATGAGGTTTATTACTTAATGAGAAGCCCTAAAAAGAACAGCATGTATTCTATTTACGGGTAATAGGACATCAGTGTCAATTGCAAAGCAGCCTAAATGCTATTGCTGGGTCTCTTTGTTTGTTAAGAAGTTCACATTGGAGTGTGCATAATCTTTGCTCGGAGTATCACTAGCGCATATGTGTATGTATATGTATATGTCTCATTTGCCATCATCAGGCTTCTGTATAGTGTTCATCTGTGAGTCAGACTTTTACAGTGGTTTCAGATTTAAATTTGGGGCAGCCTATTGCTGTGCCAGAATGGTTTTTTCTTCATCCTGATTGGTTGGGAGTCTTGGTCTGTGTTTATTGGTCTTGGGAGTTTGCTGTGTTCTGCTTGATTGGTGTTTCTAATATCTTCTGTCTGTTTTTTAGCTCTTTTTGTATCTTGATTGGCTGGCAACATTGTGTTCCTTTCTTGGAGGCCTTTAGTGCAGCTTGGCTCCGGGTAAATGGACGGCTATCATTAGTTAGGAAGCTAGGTTTCATCTGGGTGCCTGGTTGGGGTGTGTTTGAGCTGGAGGTATCAGGGGGGATCTGTCTGTGCCCAGGTGTTTGCCTGGCTTGTGATGTGGAGATTTTTTTGTTTGTTAATGCAGGCTTCCAAATGATTGACAGTCTGGTGGAATCATCTCTTCTATTCATGCTTTCTGCTCTTTTTTCAATCTCTATGGCTTTTCTGATGATTCTGTGGCTGGGGTTTTCTATAGTGGCTAGAGTTTAAAAAAAAAATCTCCACACCACAAGCCAGGCAAACACCTATGAACACTATACAGAAGCCTGATGATGGCAGATGAGATTCTGCTGAAACATTGCTACAACTTTAAAAGCACGACTACAATGACGTGGGAAAATACCCGAACAAAGCTGAATGCCATACATGTAAGTACCCGCGAAAACTTAAGAAAAAATAAATATAAATATATATAGAGAGAGAGAGAGAGACAGAGAGAGAGAGAGAGAGAGACAGAGAGAGAGACAGAGAGAGAGAGAGAGAGACAGACAGACAGACAGACACAGAGACACAGAGAGATACACACTGTATTTTTTGGACTATAAGATGCACTCTCCCCCCCCCCCAAAAAAAAAAGTAGGTGGAAAATTCTGTGCATCTTATACAGAGAATATGGGCCTGTTTTTGGTCTCCCAAACCCTCTGTACCTCCCGTTTTTGCCCTCTCCAGTGTCCAGAAGCACTCCAGAGGCCTCCATGGCTTCCATTTTTGCCCTCCCCGGCGCCAGGGAGGCTGAAAACAGGACACACAGAGCGTTCAAAAGGCCAAAAACGGTGCCATTTGGGGGCTGCAGAGTGCTTCTGGATGCCAGGGAGGGCAAAGCGGGATGTGCGGAGGGCAAAAATTATTATTTTTCTTGTTTTCCTTCTCTAAACCTAGATGTGTTTTATGGTCCAATGCGTCTTATAGTCCATAATACACGGTATATCTTTTCTCTATTCTTTGTGCCTTCAATGTTAAATTTCAAGCAATCCCAGGAAAGGTAACTGCCATAAAGGTAACAGATTGCTGGCTTCCATTTTTAGTCTAAGAATGGGTGTAGGCAGCCTGACTGACCCAATTTTCAAATATGGAAAGATAAACACCACTGAGTTTCAATTGGAACTTGCTCCTCCTAAGTAGCCTGTAAGAAAAGCATCAATGAACACACTTTAAATTCTAAAATCTAAAACCATGCTTTTTTTCCAGAGCATTTTTGTTCTCCATTTTGCTGATAGACAGATGTACCCGTCAACCATGTGAAAACTTATCTTAAATGACCCATCTCCCATTAGAAACATGAGGCAGTTTTAAAGTAAGTAAGTACTGCATCCAAAATACCTTCAGTGCACACTTTTTTTTTTTTAAAAAAAAGGTGAATTATACTGGCACAACAATGTTGAGTTACTAGAAATGGAGCGAAGGAAGGAAGGAAACAGGGAGGGTCTTGCTGTCATTGGACTGTTGTAGTCCTTGACTTATGACTGCAGTGAAGCCTGCCCATCGCTGTCAAAAATCATGACAATTTCATGACCTTTGCTCATTAAGCAAATACTATAGTCATTAACCCAGTTCATTATAGGTACAGTTTTACCAAAAAGCAGAACACTAGTTTTTGGCTTTCAGAAAAACTGTCATAAAACACAGTCAAGTAACCACAGGATGATGCAAATGGTCATAAATGCAGCCTGTTGCCAGCGCCTGAACTTTGTTCATGTGACTGTGGGGCGGGGGCAATATCAGAATTTCAAATCTGGATCTTAAGTAGCTCCAAGATAAGTCCTCCTTAACTTTGAATGTGTGATGACCCAGGGCATGACACAAAAATAACACAGTCACAAAAGTAGAATAAATTCTCTTTAATGCGTCCAACTTGGGCCCCAATGTCCAATTATCCTCGGCTTGATATCAAAGTCTTCCAAAAACAGTCTACAAAGAGAGTAAATGCAGTGCGAACCAAAAGTAAAGATAATTAGAAATAAAAAACAACAACACAAACCACACTGTAGTCATTAACACGGCAGACCAGGATGATAAATTGCAGACTTCCACAAGATAATGTAGCAACCACAGTTGGGAAGATGCCAAAACCCAGATAAGCCTGGACCAAGATAAAGCATGCTTTGCTTCCAGCAAAGAGCTATTTAAAATGCCCCACTTATATCCTGTTCTCCCAGCTGCAACTAATGAAAGGGATCAGGGCCTATTCCTCTTTCATAAGACACGTTGCTCTCTTCTCCGTTCCTCTCTGCGTGCCCTAGGATGAAGAGGGGATGGCCCTGTGTCTTCCTCTGGATTGTGCTCTTCCCCCGTTTCTTCCACAGCTACCAGAGCCATACTCCCACTCCCTGTCAGCTCCTCAATCTCCCCCTCAGAGTCAGACTCCAAGAAGGGCATGACAGAATGGTTAATAAGCAACAGTCATAAGTTGAGGACCACCCATGATGACTGATTATGGCAGCCCATCAGGATTATTCATGTATTTTATTCATTTATTAACCCAATTGATATTGCCATGCAATCAGAGGATTCTTGAAAGTTCACAAAATTTGCATGCATGCATGCATGCACACACACACGCGCGTGTCTGATATAGAGACACAGACAGAGATAGAGATTTATTTAAAAAAATACTAAGACAATTAAAACCAGATGCAATACAGTAATAGCTGTTTGTCCCCAAAAACCCTCTGGGAAAGTTCAGTCTTTCGTTTTTTCTAGAAGGCAGACACTGTTAGATCCAAAATAAACACCCAACAGGAGACCATTCCAGAGGGGCAACCCATGTAATGCTTCAGTCTCCCTCATAATAATTCTGTGCAAAATTCACAGAATATATTTTCACAATCTGGAGGTTAACTATATATTGTTAATTGTTGATTTTATGTCTGTCATTGTGTATCAAATGTTCACTTACTATTTATAGATTCCTAATTTATTTCCTAGAAATCCAAAATGTTTAATAGTTAATTGTTAAATAATTACTAATTAATAGTTAGTACTTTATAATTAAATAATTAATAATTAAATAATTAGTAATCTCTAAATTTATTTTAAAAGTCCAGACAATTCCTTGTATTTAAAATCAGACATTGTTTAAATTATCCACAAATCTATCCATCAGAAGACTTTTTGTTCTTTCCAGTGGAAAAAAAAAGGCTTTTTCTAGGGGGAAAGGGTTTTTTCCGTTCCAAATTACTGATAGAGCTGTAAGCATGTTTATGCAAATTAACTCTATTAACAATCATAAAATTCATTGACAGATTTCTTTAACCAGATGACAACTTTAAAATGAACTCTTTATACCATGGCTTGAAGCCATAACTTTGAAAATATGTATCAGTTATCAAAAAATACACCATATATTAAAAGTTACTTACCAGACGGATGAGGCAAGGAGGACACCTGTGGTGTTGGCAAGAAATGCAATTGGAGGTTCTGCTAGCATCAGTGAAGATAATATGGACCCACCAAAACAGTAAAGCATAGCACTAAACCAACATGCAAGTGGGCTGTCATAGGCGACTTCAACTACTCCTGAAAACAAGATACAAACAGCTCTTTGTGAGGAATTTGGGTTTTTAATTTGCTGCAAAATTCCCTGATCAGCTTACTGCTAATACACTATAGTACATTAGTATATTGCTTACACTAATAGCAATAACATGTAGACTTACAGACCGCTTAACAGGGCTTTACAGCCCTTTAAGTGGTTTACAAAGTCAGTATATTGCCCTCAGCATCATGGGTTGTCATTTTACTGACCTCGGAAGGATAGAAGGCTGAGTTAACCTTGAGTCAGTCAGAATCGAACTCCTGGCAGTGAGCAGTGAATTAGCCTGCAATACTACATTCTAACCACTTCACCTAGCTCTGCATATTGTTTAATCATGGCTTGTTTCTTAAGCTGTAATGATACTGCTATGCAGACCAGAGCAGCATGTTCTAAGGAAAATAAGGGGTCTGAGAGGAGGAAGCTCTGGTGAAGAAGCAGAAAAAGGGGAACCCTTGGATGGAGAGAGCAGGTTAGTAATCAAAACCATAGGACTGTATGTCTTAAGAAAAATGGTGGAATAGATATGGGTTAGATTCAGTGAAGGTAAGGAGGGGATCTGTTTTTGAAACACAAGAGAGCCACAAGCTTCCTGACTTAGTGTATACTAATGATAATATACTCCTATCATGTATACTATAGTGTACAGCAAGCCGGCCTGTCAAACTGGTGGCCTGCGGGCTGGAATGGCCTGTGGAGGCCACACCCACCCCAGCTCCGCAAAGGCAAAAAACATCACAATATCACAATCCTCCCACAACAAGATTGAGTTTGACACCCCTGGCGTATAGTGTGTACGCCTAATGCTACCTTATGTTTCTCCAACATACAGATGTTTTTCTTGTCCAATATATATCCAACAAAAATGGCTCACTGGCTGGTTTCACTTACAAACCAACATTTTTAATGTAGACATTAAAGGAGTTTATAATGTGTATTAATAAAATAAATAAATCAATGCTAAATGCTATTTAAATGCTGCCTTCAGATCTTTGGCTGGAGTGTGATGAAGTTCAACACAATGGGGGAGATGTAGTTTACATGAATTTGATCAATGTGATCAATTTGCTTCAGTTTGCTGCAATTATGAAAGGGAGCATAGAGCTACTCAGGGAGGGAGGGCTGCTAAGAGGGCCAGAGATGGTCAGAATATGCAAATAACTCTAAATGTCTCAGGCTGCAGGGGAAAGAAATCCAATCCCAATTTGTCCTTGAATAAAAACTAACTACTGCAGCATTTGCTGTGGAAATTAATAATTGTACAACTTAGAGAAAAAAGTTTGATAAGCTGTTTTGAAGGCAGCAAAAATTTGGGGGGAACTAAGAAACCTGTCTGTAGAAACACTTCCATCACCTTGACTTACGAACAGTTTGGTCTGGTGAGCTTAGCTAGGAGGAACACACATACTGATATAATTTGTATTCAAGAGACATAGTAACTGGAAATCTTGCATTTTAGAATCTGAAATTATGCTGTTGTTCATAAAGACAGAGCACATTGTGGGAAGGAGGGCATATTCTCTTGAAGGAAAGTTTAAACAATTCAGACGTGATTAACCTGAAATTTCAGAGGGAATTCCTTTGAAAAAATCATATAAATGTTTATATTTCCTGTTTCCTGCTTGATATATGATTGAATCATCCATTGATAAATTCAAAGGGATGTTTAATGTGGGGATTTCAATCATCATCGCTCTTTATGGGGCAGTGATAACTCAAATAGGAGGGATGGGAAACAAATAGGAGGGATGGGAAATGTTGGAAAACTTTAAAGTTGGAGTCGATTCTTTTTAAGAATGGAACCCCCCCACTCAGTTTGATTTGTTTCTGCATAAATTTTCTTCTTTAGATTAAACTGTTTCCAGATGTATCCAGTCTTATTGTGGCTGGGAAGTTCTCCAAGTCAATAACACAGGAAGTGATCATTTTCCCATTTATTTCTTATAGACAGGTGGGATTTTACTGATTAGGCAGAAGTAGTCCTTTTGTGGATTCGACAAACACAAATGGGTTTCTTGTAGACAAATGTAAATTCTGTAGGATTTATGGTGAGAAGAATGATTCAGAGGAATTTCAAAATATTTACACTGTGCGATATAGTTACTGCAACTGATCAGGCCATGCCTAATAGAATCTAAAAAAGAAAAATCAGATGTTGGTTTCATGACAGGCTGCTGAATGTACTAAATCTACATGAATAGATTAACATTTTCAAGGTATTTAGTTGTTGATGTTATCAATCATGAAAAGAATGCTGCAAAGACAAAACTATAATAAGTACAGGGAACCTAAGAACCATTAAGGTAGGGAAGTTCAGTGCAGTAAAGAATGAAATGAAGACATATTACATATTAGCAAATTGAAATGGACTGGAACTAGACACTCTCAGTTAAATTATACCTCTTTACTACAGGTAATCCTCCATTTGCAACAATAGGGACCAGAATCTCAGTCACTGAGCAAAGCGATTGTTAAGTGACATGTCATGAGACCAACGATCTCGTTGGACGATTTGTTCAATGATCATGATCCTGGCTCTCTTGACGGTGGTCCATAAACAATTGCACAGGTCATTAAGCCTAGTGCAGGGGACAGGATTCGGGTCTCCCAGGTATAGTAGGGCAAGGACGGAGCCCAGGCTTCTAAGTACATTCACAAGACCCAGGCCTTTTCCCCAATGGGGAGAACAATCATATGAATAATGGTGTTTGCTAACATTTTTGCCAGATTTGAGGTCCATTTCTCCAGCATGCTGAGAAAAATTGTCATTGTGCTGGAAAAATAGGGTTTAAATCTGGCTAAATTGTTAGTGAATGTCATTGTTCTGGAAGACTCATGAATATATTGAAATTCTATACAATAGAGATGTCTATAACCAAGATACCTTAGTAGATTATTTTCTATTTATAAAAACCTTTGAAGATGAAGTTAGATCAGTTATTAGTTACTATTAAGTTGTTATCCTTGAGAAGAAGCAGCTTAACTTCCCAACCTTGTAGACAGCTGAGGAAGACAGCTAGTGACCTCACTGGAAGAAGCACAGCCATAATTTCCCCTCCCCTTTGGGAGAATCTACAGGTTGGGAATGGCAGCAAAACACTTCCATTTCCATACTTACAAGCTGTACAAACTCCAAAGCAAAATTTGCTGCAATTTAAGAGCACAATCCCGAGTGCTATTTTAGAGTAGCTAAAATATTTTTTGTATTTTGGAAAGAAACTACTACTCTGGATTTAAAATTCAGAAATGTACAGGTATATTCACTCTCAGACTTTGAATTGTCTACTTATGTAATGAAAAGACTGATCAGTATAATCCCATATCAAACACTGATATGTTATTTTTACATATCTCCTCTGTGTGTGTGTGTGTGTGTGTGTGTGTGTGTGTCTCACAGGGATTTTGTTCTTTTTTGGTTAAGTTGTATTTTATACACACATACACACACACACACACACACACACACACACACACACACACACCCTACATGAGCTAGTGTGGTACAGTAGAAGTTAAGGAAAAGAGATAGAAGCCAAGAGACCATGAATTCTGGATTTATTTTAAACCTGGAAATCAACTGGGCAACTTTGGGATAGTCATATTTAGTTATGACTAAAAAGTCAAAAATCCTCTATTTACAATTAGTACTGGCCACTTTTTTTAAATCGCAATAATCTCAACAATCACCATAATGGTTGGGGAAGCCAAGGGTTGCAGCTGAATATTTCATAGGGGAAAATAAGGATGTTTTCTAACAACTTGTTTTTTAGTAACTTTCAATACTTTAATGATGCTTATTTCGTTTAACTGCTTCCCTTTCATTATATACAAACGTTAGCTAAGAGCCACTGAATTGGCTCACTATCAAGATCAGTTTGCAATAAAAACAAAAGAAATAATGGAATAAATTACTCTTAATCTGTTAACAAATAATAATAATACCTTTAAGGCTTTTGAAAAATTACAAAACAAATATAATTTATCAAAAGCAGGCAAAAAGCTAGCTAGTTCTCACCCTATGTATAAATTATTAAATTCTCTGTTTAATCCCAATGCTTTAGCAGTCTATGAAATGTAAAAAACTTGAATGTTTGCAGATTTTTTTTTCATAGAGACAAAACCAATAGTTCAACATTATTTTTAAAAGATTGCAAAAATATATTTAAATAATATACATAAACTTTGCATTAGTACATTTGCCTATCCTATATCAGAAAATCAACACCTCGGACAAAAATGTACTATTTAAAGAAATATCACATATAATTTATTGTATGATTTAAAAATCTGGTTGATTCAGCAAAAAAGAAATAGTGTTTAAAAATTTGATTGTCATCCTTTTATACTTGAGATGTAGTAAATAGCCGGAATAGCAGAAATATTAGTGCAAATGCTCTGGACAGCCCTCCTATATTATCCTGATATAATAATAATCAGGTTTCTTACTGATTATTAATATTGGTGAACCAGGGATTACTAAAATGAAATTATAGTTTAGATAACTTAATGTTGCTAAATTATTCTTCTAAAAACTGAAACATTTCTATTTATGAAGAACTTTAGATTTGTGCCTTGGGATCTCTATCAATAAATTTATGTGTAACAGTGCTGGGATGGCTTCCAGAGAGAGAATTTTATCCTTTCTTTTTAAAATAATTTTCTATCAATTTGGAAAAAATGTTAGAAAATGAAACAGAAGATAGAAGCGTCCTGTCCCCTTGCAAAAAATTTGCACGTGCCATTAGGCAACTTGGGAGCACTTTAGAACCTGAAATGGAAAGGCCACTGAACATTATTTTTCACAATAATTACATTAGCATAAAAAGAGCATCCACAACAGATGGCAATACCTGAATCTTTAAAATTCAGTTTCTATTTTATTGTTCAGATAGCTTAGTGCCCACATCAAAACTATTCATAAAACTCAGAACTGTAATTTTTTAATATATTTTTTTATTCTGCATTTGTTTTTATAAATAACTCAAGGTAGTGAACATACTTAATACTTGTCCTATTTTCTACACAACAACCCTGTGAATTTGAGTTGGGCCGAGAGATAATGACTGGCCCAAAATCATCCAGCTGACTTTCATGCCTAAGGTGGACATTAAAATGTCACATTACTATTATACGTTTAAATTAGTAGTACAACAATTGTTACTTTTTATATCCTTGCAACTTCAAATATTATAAGTATTAAAATTTAAAATAAAAAATGATGGGTAGTGAAATAGAAATAACTGATTATTTTTTTTGTATTTTTCAATTCTATATGTCAGGGGTGTCAAACTCAATTTCACTGAGGGCAGCAACAACACAACAGATCAGGCAGTTCCATCTCCATTCACAAACATCTTTAGGGCCCTTCCGAAAAACAACTGTGCCTGGGGTGTGTGCATATGCATCCAGAACAATACAGGTAGTCTTCAACTTACAATTTTTTAAAAAAGTTTAGTGACTGTTCAAAGTTACAACGGCACTGAAAAAAGTGACTTAAAACCATTTTTTACACTTACAACCGTTGATGCATCCCCCATGGTCACATGATCAAAATTCCAAAGCTTGTCAACTGACTCATATTTATGACGGTTGCAGTGTCCTGTGGTCATATAAACCACCTTTTGCCATCTTCTGACAAGCAAAGTCAATGGGGAAGCCAGATTCACTTAACAACAGTGTTACTAACCTAACTGCAATGGTTTGCTTAACAGCTGTAGCAAGAAATATTGTAAAATGGAGCAAATGCAATTAACAACTGTCTCGCTTAGGAACAGAAATATTGGGCTTAATTGTGGTCCTAAATTCAGGACTAGCTGTAAAGAATGACAAAAATGAATCAAATCAAAGCAAATATACCTTTTTCAGAGATGAAGCAGGCAAATGTATGACTATACATATGAAATAACTCCCTCAAATTTGCTATCATCTGATATTACAGTTACCTTGTCATTCTGCTAAAAAAAATGAAGCTAATACTCTGCATGCATTAAAAATAGAAAATTATCTCACAGATTAGTTCCCAGTGGATGTTATATAAAAAGAACTCCACTGAGTGGGCCAAAAATCTCTCTTGCCCAATATTCTGCTTCTAAAAGTAACACCAAGTACATCTGGTAAGCCATTTAGGGTACTTTATACTGAATCTACACAATTTCCACCTGTTGGCTAATCATTGCAGATCTTTTAATCCTTCCTTTTTAAAAGCATTCAAATAATTAATAGCTTGCAAAATCTATGTGAAGTTTTGTTATCAAGAAAACATGACACCTTACAACAAAATAAAATCCTTCCAGCTAAGCCACTTAACTGCTAGGCATTAAAAGATTTTTTTCCATCAAATGTGTATGAAAAATAGTCGCCTATATTGCTTTCATAATATTGCTGAGATCCTTTCAACATCAGACAAAAACTTTTGTTATTTCCCGAAGCAGTTGATCCCTTTTTTTAAAAAAATAGGAATGCAGTTTTGATGCATTATAAAGAATATTTTATTATAATTTTATTACAATTATAATTTGAACCTTTGTAGAACTGCAAGTTACCAAATACAGAGGTTTTCTAGTGATTGTTCAACAATCGATCTCATGGAGTCCAATTTCATACGTTAATTATGCTGCGCAGAAATAAAAATAGCTATTTTTGTCAATCCTTATAAACAATCCTCCAAATACCCAAAGTAGGAAGTTTAATTTTTGTTTTCTGGAAAATGCCTAAGCTAGTAGCCTTCATATTAAACAGGGGTGAGCTGTAAGCCCTTTGGTCGCACCTAAGGAATGCTTGTTGACTCTGGACATGCTCAGGAGCTATGGTTGCTCCTCCCGGAATCCCTTAGGACTAAAAACAAGTTTTGTACTCCAGGCCTCGGCCTACTTACTCACTCACCCCGCTGCTCCTTCAAAGACATGATGGAAGCGGCGTAATGCGCTAAGTCAAAGAAGGGAAACATGGGCAAACGAGCGAAGCGAAGCGGTAAATCCCCCAAGAGCTCCATCGCGACAGACGCTGGTGCGCAGGCGCCAACTCTGCCGAGCGGCCAGCGAAAACGCGAAGGTAAGCTTGCACGAGAAGGGGGCGGGGCCAAATTTTAAATAAGGCGGGGTTACAGGGCACTCTAACGCCCTCCCCGTTCTTTCACGGCCTATAGCCGAGCGCGCGAGAATGCGGCTGTGGTAAATTAAAACTCCGCCCCGTCGTCGCTCTTTAGGCCAAACCGCCGTCAGCAGGGAAGAAAAAAAAAGGCGCGCCCACGAGCGGAGGAATGATTGGTCCGGCTCGAATCTAACGTCGTCCAGGATTGAAAGGCTATTGGCTGAGGCTTGTAAGGCGTGCCGAGAACGTAGGAATGCCGAGGGTTAGTGGTTTGCCGGTAGCTGGAGTGCACATTTTGAGCCACGGTAGTCGGTGGAAGCGCATCTCGTTGAGATCCTTGAGAAAAAGCAAGCCCGCCGGGTCTAGGTTTAGCCAATCACCGTCTTGGAAATTAAGTGAATATCGCCAATTCGAGATTAAGAGAACGAAAATTATAATAATAATCGTACTTATACGGTATAAAAAGATCCCCCCCCCCTTATACAGGGCATTACAGACTACTCCGGTCAACCTATTTTCCAAAGCAAGGAAAATAGGTGATCCATCACTGGAGGCTTTTAAGAAGAGACTGGACAACCACTTGCCTGAAATAGGATCAGGGGTCACCAACCTTTTGGACCTCAGGGACCACCAAACTCATAATTTTAAATCCCAGGGACCACTCACCGGTTCTGTGAGCATGGCCTAATTTATGGGTGTGGCTTGGTGGTCATGTGACTGGCTGGGCATGGCTTGGATGTAAATATTATAAATATTTATATAAATATTGAATTTTTTTATTTAAAAAGCAACTTTTACCCAAAAGCAGGCAAAGCAGGCATGCAGATTAAGTTGCTCACAGAATCACAGATTCATTCAGGGATCTTATCTATCTGCCATTGGCTAGCTCAGTCTGTCACATAAAATTTGCTTGCAAGCAAACTCATAAAATTAACTCACAACACACCATGGATGTAAATATTGAATTTTTTATTTAAAAAAGAGCATCTTTTACCCAAAATCAAGCAAAGCAGGCAGGCAGGTTGAGTTGCTCACAGAATCGTTCAGTGATCTATCTATCTGCCATCGGCTAGCTCAGTCTCTCAAATTCGCTTGCTGTGAGTCTGCACTTCAATCCTAAGAGAGGTTCAGCTGTGCTTAAAAGCAGAGCAGAAGATCTAAAGCTAGAAAGCAAGAAATCCAACCATTTCCTGTTTCCTAGCTAATCTAAATCTCCCTGCACAGCAGAACGGATGATGGTCGGAAAAAGGAAAAATAGCACTTTTAGCAGGCAAGTTTGCCAAGTAAGGAGTGAGTGGGTGGGGAGGGTTCCTGTGGACCACGTGGGCGGCACAGGCTTGTGTTTCTGCGCAGCCTGGATTAATTGCTTTGGGGGTATGCTCTGGGGGTGAGATTTTTCTGCGGCCCACCAAAATTTTCTCACGGCCCACCAGTGGGCTGCGGCCCACTGGTTGGCAACCACTGGACTAGATGATCTCAAGGTCCCTTTCCAACTCTGTTACAAGTATTCCTCGAGCTACGACCACAATTGATGCCCAGATTTATGTTGCAAAATGAAACATTTAAGTGAGCTTTGCGCCATTTTATGACTTTTTCTTGCCACAGTTGTTAAGTGAATCATTGCATTTGTTAAATTAGTTAACACAGCTGTTAAAGTGAATCTGGCTTCCCCTTTTACTTTGCTTGTCAGAATGTCACAAAAGCTAATCAGATGACCCCAGGACACTGCAACTGTCATAAATATGAGATAGTTGTCAAGCATCTGGATTTTGATCAGGTGACTGTGGGGATGCTGCAACAAATTGTAAGTGTGAAAAATGATCATAAGTCACTTTTTTCAGTGACGTAACTTTGGTCACTAAATGATCTGTTGTAAGTTGACTAACTATACTAGGTTGATGCCTTTTGCAGGTTCTGGGCTACAAATAACAGGCAGCTTGACATCTGTCCTGTAACCTGTTCTGCTGGTATTTTCAGTGCAGTGCATAAAGATTCATTCTGAGCTGCAAAGTGGGACTTGAGTCCAGACAGACTCTTTTTTACAGCAGAGCACTGAATAAAGTCATTGTTTTAATGACTTCAAATTAGTGTTGCCTTCTGGCAACTGCCTGGACAAGTCCCTCCAGGTTTTTTTTTTTTAGCAAAATATGTGAAGTGGTTTGCCACTGCCTCCTTCCTAGAGGTGAGAGGGACTGGTGCAAGGTTACCCAGATGACTTTTTGTTTAAGGTAGGACTAGAACTTGGGGTTTTTAGCTTAGAATTTCAACTACTGCACTAACTTTGTGCCTAAATCAGAACTTGAATTTGAAATACTAGACTTAGCCTGGTATTTCAACCACAACTCCAAACTGGCTATCATGAATAAAGGGTTAAGTACCTAAAAAGTGATGTGCGTTAACAAATGCAAACCAACGCTCAGCATGCTGGCTCAGATACAAGCTGCTGATACAAGCTTTCACTTAATTAGAAGCTGGCGGGCTGAAACAACAAGGAAGATGTGCTATAGTACTTTATTCCTTCAGAAACCCCTTTTTTCTCATTTTCCCAACACAATAGCGATTAGTTAGAGATAGTCCGAGCTCTATTAAAGATGCATTCATAACTGAGCTCCTAGAATACAAATAGATCATAAAAATTATAAATGATATGTCAGTCTTATTTTTGTCACTTCACTAGTACTATATTGTGGAATTTGTGCAATGGCTGTGAGTCCCACTGAACCCCTAATGTATTGCTAAACTGCATATGTAGATACAACATAATTTATTGTCGAAGTGAACAATTGAAATTTGGAATCTGGGTACTTCCAGAACATGCTCTTAAAAAGCATAAATAGCATTTGGCAAAAGCATAATAACTTCTTGTACACACATATTTAAAATTCTATTTCTGCATAAAAATTGAAGCTACCTCTTTAAGATATGAACCCCAATAAAATATTGGTCAATGACCATAATAACCATCAACATAGAAAATACTGTAGGTCAAATGTTATGTTTGTTATTAGGGGAGATTCTCTTAATTTTCATGAGTACTGATTATAGGTCAATTTGAAAGATTCATCTGTAATCAGTTTGATTAATTATACTTATTTTTACCCAGCAAAGTTAAACAGGATTCTTTCTTTCCCCTTCTATTGGATAAATTGCAATGCCAGCCTGACCCATAACTCCAAAGTGTATTTTGAATAATTATATGAGATATTAAATTTTGCAGAGATATAAAAGCATAAAATCATGTTCTTTGCAGTTCTGCTGGACATCCACTGAGTGGCAATAGATGTACACATAGGTAATATAAATCCAATTATATCTAACTTCTGCTCACAGATGGAGCAAGGCTGAGGCAGAAGATCAAAAAGAAGAAAGATGTGGACCCTGCTAGCTTGAGATCAAATCAAATATGGACTACACTTTATCCTAGCAGTTGAGATAGGAGGGTAATTTGCTCATAGTATATCCATGGGCAATATACATAATTTAATTTGGTTCAATCAAAAGTCATCATCTGAATGTAAAAACAGACCTGCTGGATCAGGCCAAAGACCATCTTATTTTGTTCACAAAAGCAAAGCAAACACCTATGTTGTACTCACAAGTAGGTGAAAAGCTACCTTTCTCCTGCATTCCTGAATCTGAATGCCTGCTGCCCCAATGTGAAGGTGAGTTAAGTCTTCAGGACCAATAGCCCTGAGTAGATATGAGTTCTATGAATAATTTATTAAAAAATTCTCCTTTAAAGCCATCCAAATAAACAGCCAACATCATATCTTGAGGTGATTAATTCTTAATGGTTATTGTGCACCATGTGCATAATTTTACCTGGTCTAGATCTTATTCCAATCAGCTCCATTGGAAGGCTCCTGGAATTAATGTTTCAAAATAAAATAAGATGCTTCTTCATGTCATATGCGATGTTCTACAAATCAATGAAGTTTGTACCAGCAGTTGTCTTTTTTTAGGCTGAAGAATCCCAAATACTCTCAGTTTCTGTTGAAAGAGCTGTGTTTGGTTCCTCTAAGTTTGATGCTCTTATTTTCCAACTGTGGTACATACCTTTTCCCCAAATATGGTAGCCAGAACTGCATACAATGTTCCAGATGCACAAGGAATTACAACTTGGATAGTTTTGTTTTGAGTCCATTTCCTAATGATTATGCTAATATAAAAAAATTGAATGAATGAATAAAATGAATGAATTCTAGCATGAAATTTGTCATTTTCAGTTTCCAGCCATGCATGGAATCACACATTCCATACGATACCTACTATATAGCTCCAAGGTCCCTTCTTTCATGTTAATCCCATCATTGTGCAGGTAGCCCATGACTTGCAATAGTTCATTTAGTAACCATTCAAATTACAACAGCACTGAAAAAAGTGATTTGTGATCATTTCTCACAGTTATGACCTTTGCAACATCCCCATGATCATGTGATAAAAATTCAAATCTTGCCAACTGGTTCATATTTATAACCATTGCTTTATTATAACCAGTCCCAGGGTCATGTGATCACCTTTTGCGACCTTCTGACAAGCAAAGTTAATGGGAAGTCAAATTCACTTAACAGCCATGTTACTAACTGTAGTGGCAAGAAAGTTTGTAAAATCGGGCAAAATTCACTTAACAGATGTTTCACTTAACAACGGAAATTTTGGGCTCAATTGTGGCAGGAGGGGCTTCAAAAATTTCAGCAACCGTTTCTCTGCCTGGTTGCTGGATGAGAGTGACCTAGTCGGCCTCCTGCACCATGGCGGTGGGGGGGGGCTTTTTGCTCTCCTTGGGCTCCGGAGGCTTTCCTTGAGTCTCTGGGAGGTTGAAGACGGCCTCCCCCGGGCTCCGGAGGTTCATTTTTTGGCCTCCCCGAGCCTCTGCGCAGGCCCTGCACTTACCTTGCATCTAAAATGGGCTACGTAGATACTCCGGGGCGGGGAG